GTTATATAATACTGTAGATCAAAACTTCTCTGTCTGCTCATCACAGCCAGTACTTTTTATAACAGCATCTGTAACGACTACTGCATTGACAGTCAAAAAACATTATTGGTGTTTTGATTGCCTACATCAACTTTAACCAGTAGAGGCTAAACGACTTGTGATGCTCAATAACTGCATAGAAAAACATCCAGTGAGTGGCAGCAAGATATTTGAATATGTGCTGTTTTCTCATGGGGAATGTATACTAAACTTACAGATTCACAGGGTTTGCAAGCAATCACTGGGATGTAACTCAGTATCAGAATGCAAAACACTTTGAGAAATATTAGGATCATGTCATACAACTGTATGATATTACACGCACAATTTCTTGTAACCATTTAATGAACATCATTAATACAGCATATTAAACTACCATATTATTACTTTTCATGTTTATACATTAGCCAGCCTATACTACAGTTTCAAGACTGATGTCTTGAAAGCCCTCAAGAAGAACCCCTCACAAAAAAATGTATTGTGAATATATTATATAAAATCCATCCATCCATTTTCACTCTGCTTTTCCTGTTGAGGGTCATGGTTGTAGCAGGCATATTATATATAATATATTATATAATAATAACTGGTGAATTTATAATACCAGCACTGCTGGCTCTGATTTCCAATGAGGTGAAAAGTTTTACTTATTTTAATACTGTACATATAATATATATTTTTATCAGTGAAAACATAGTCAATTGATGTTAATTTATCTGGTCAGTAATCTGCATGTACTCAGATGGCTCAATCTTGCATAAAAAGAAAAAATAATAGATTCTTAGTACCCATCTACAGTAAGAATAGCACAAGTTATTTTTAAAAAATGTAACAAAAAAGTTATGTCATTCTGCAGCATCAATTTCACTGTGAACTTCCACACATACAGTGCCACAATGTAATGTCATGTGCATGGAATAGCAGAACTGTTATTTCTGTGTTTTACAATTGCTTTGTCTGCCTATTTCTTGTACTGAAAATAACCAATATGAATACTAGTCTTGTCAACCATAATCTAAGATGAGAACCTGCTATAGTATTATGTACAGTAGCTACAGTAAATACAGTTTATGTGTCTGCCAGAAATTCTCAAGCTACAGTATATCAGTAATAAAAATAAGGAATTTAAAACATCTAAAGTAAAGAAGTGCTGTAGGCTTGTGTACTGCAATCATATTGTACTGTACACTTCTAAAACCAACGCTGTTACTATTCTACATCTACAGTATGTGTCTCTGAACAGGTGAAGTAGTTTTGAAATTACAGTATGTTGAGGTACTGTAAGTGTAAAGCCATTTAACTACAATGTCGTATAACCAGCTGCATAATGCTTGCTGAATACTGGAGGGATTCCACTATTCATTACTATTAATAATTCAGTATGATTATTACTAGTAAAAAGCTGTTAAAAATTCACCCATGTACAGAGATGCTAAGGAACCTACAGGTAAATTACCTGTGGAGAACCCATTCCCTTTTTCAGTATGACACCTTGCCACGTTCTCCTGTGGACACCTGCAGTACAGCATATGTGTTTTAACTGTGTGATAAATCTAGTGTTATACTGAGAATATAATGGTTCAAATAAGGCTGCAGGATTGATTACATTACATCTTTCACTACCTTTCATTGGAGCCTTTCTATGTTTTGTCTGCAAAATACGGCAAGTTCATTAAAAACAATATCACAATGCCTTAGAGCAGCACGTTTGTTTTTAAATAAAGGGAGCTATTATTTGTCTTTTTAAACCACGGCTTTTCACTCCAGCCATCCATTTTCTAAGGCTTTATCCAGTACAGGGTTGCAGGGGAGCCGGAGCCTATCCCAGCAAGCGACTGGCACAAGGCAGGGTACACCCTGGATGGGATGCCAGTCCATCGCAGGACACACGCACAGACACAGCCAATGACCTACTGTACTTAATTCATTAATAATCAAATTAATGTTAACTCATCTGTGCTGTATCTAAGGTTAAAAAGTATAGTTCATATCAGGGCCCCGGCAGTTCATGAGGCCAGAACTCATCCTGGTTTCTGTAGTGTTAAGCAGACTAGAGAATTTGTACAAATAAAACCTACTGTATACGTGTTCATTTTTGCTGAGGAAGAAAGGTGGAAGAGATCTGGTCCAGTCTCCTTCACAGAATAAAGCACAGGAAGGTTCTTTGTTGTCAAGAATGTGATGAGGACTTGTAAAAAAGTGAAGTCTGCTTAATGAATGCGCATTACATCTTCCCTTCTTAACCATTAATAACGTAATATGTCAGTTACTGGGCAAACACGAGCTGTGCCCAGAGCCACCTGTCGAAGCAGAGGTTGGATTTACATCTTTGTATCTCACAGCCCAAAGATTTAATGGCTTGAAATCCAAACAGAGGTCCTTTGGCATAACCTGTAAGGGTCTTAGTGTCTTCAATCAACAAGCATTACAATTCTACACATGAGGGGTGTTTAGATGCTTGTTTATTCAAGAAAAGCTTTATTAGACACAATACGTTAGAGAAAAGGCTTAATAAGCCTCTCAGAAGACTACTGAAACACCATAAGAGGACTCATTTTAACACATTAGAACATTATGGCTTGTGCTACAGAATTACATACAGTGCTGTACATATTCACACCAAGGTCCTGAATTAGAAGTTATTTTAATATGGCCAAACAATATCATCTGTAGAAACCTTAAATAAACATAGCATGTAACTAGTGCACAATCTTAAATACTGTAAAAAACCTGTCGACACCGAACTTTTATCTTACAGCAGACACAACCAAACTTCAACAAATGAAAGGCTACAAACCGGATGATTATTAATAGGTTGGAAATATAATATTCCCGGGCTAGACCCATTTGTTGGACATCTTGACGTCTTGACAGAATTGCTGAAAAGAAACCCCCTATAGATGAACGGAGCACTGAAATGATAAAAGGATTTAACACCTAGGGAGCTGTGCCACCCACAATCACTTAAGGGCACTAAGTGTTCCCGGTGAGTCTCAGCTCCATGGGTTATCAGATAGCAGTTGCACTTGGAACATGATTGAATCATCATCAGGTGCCAGGGAGCCACATGCTTTTCGAGCTTTTCAATTTTTTGAAAAATTGAGTAGCCATTTGGAGCCGAGACCCATCAGACTACTATCTGAATGATGGCTTTGCAGACTGCTGCGGCGCTGAGAGTGAATTTATTGAGCAGTACTGGTAGCGCTGCCTGTTTTTACTGTTCTCTTCCTGGATAATCCGGCGGAGTGAGGCTACAAGAGAATGAGGTAAAAACAGATGATCTACGAAACACACTGAGGGGCATGGAATCGTTCCTAAGAGAGGTCTTGCTCCAAAGTTTCTTTATCATCACTACAATTATTCAATTCATCTGTGTGCTGTGAGACACTTTGACAGATGTTTTTGTTTGAATCCGCTCATTAGATACCGAACACTGTTCACACCTGGACACTCACTAATACATCTCAGGTGCTGCTCCTGGGAAGATTTGGATTTATAGTGATAATCAATATAATCAATATATTTTATGCACATACTGTGCAGGTTCATCCAAATTTGGTAAAATAAAGAGAAAAAGAAGAGAAGACACACAGCTCCTCAATCAGAGTGTCTCAAACCCATCCTTGGAAAGAGAGAACAGTTCAAAACAAACCAGGGGACACAACTGGATTTAGGTGGAAATGTATTAAAATCTGAAACAGGATGTACTTCTTACCCAAAAGGTTACAGGAGCAATCTACCCAGGCATGTGGTTGAAGCCAATATTTTCCTTCAGGAAACGGCTGGATGAGATCCTTGGATCAATTATCTACTAACCACCACACTAGGGCTCGATGACCTCCTCTCCTTTGGAACCTTTCCTATGTTCTTTAGCTTCAGCTCATCGGTTCAGTGACACACTGTATGTATAGTACCAATGCCACACTCTTCTTTCTTCACTTGCCCCACATTGTTGTACTGCACACATGATCGTAGATTTTACTCCTAAAAATATTTTAAACATGATAACTTAATCTTGCAGAAACACTCAAAGAGATTCAATATTAAGCTGTAGAATTCCTGAATCTACCTTATTTAATGGGGTCTAACAAACATTTAAACAAAACATAGCATAACAAAACATTTCAAATTCATTTAGGGGAAATATAATACATATTTACATACATAGTTGCATTTATTCATTTGTGAACAATATGTGTAAACAATCTTATTAAAGATTATGCAGGGCATCCTAGACATATCACCATACTTAGAAATTCAGTGACATTTTATCCCTGTTTTTATCCATCCTTTATCTTATTTAGTCAAGTCTTATTATTGCAAGATTGAACACATCCTTTCAGGGAAATGTGTTGAAAAACAGATACAACGGAATTACAATAACTCATTTTAATAAGACAGATGTACTGTAGATAAGCATTATTTAAAAGTATTTTGATCTTAATTGTACCAACATTTATTTAAGTGATTTCACAGTCAGTTCAGGGGTTTGTAATCTACTGCAATCAATGAAGAGTAATAATACAACAACCTTCATTTCGCGAGTATTTTACCATTATTTGGTAACTAAAGCTTCAGCAGTTTTGCCAAAGTCATTCAAAGTCGTTCTGGCAGTAATCCCTTGAAGTCTTTTCGAGCAATTTTGTTTTCGTACGATTGCTAGTTTTTCAGTTACAATAGATTGTAAGACACCGAGTGACGGCTTGATTTATCGGTACTTTATCACTAAAAAATCAACATTTTGGTCGTTTGCATAATAAATAGAGCGATTTAGCAAAATATTTTATATTTTTTTAACGAGATAAATGTGATACAACAATAACTGGAGTTGACGCCTCTCGGCTCAGTACATCATTCATTTATCGGTGTTAGCAGGAACATTGTACTTTCAGATACACGAAGCTTGTCTTCACGCATTAATGTACCTTGCAGGTCTCCTTCGGTCTCTGATCTCTGCGTCTTGAACAAGTCTCATCCTGTTCCTTAATCCTCTCTCTCTTTCTGTCTCTCCCTCCCTCCCTCTTTCTCTGCCCCTCTCGCTCTCTCTGTAATGCCGCGGTTTATCAGGATGTGTTGTAGCAGTGTGTTTGAGAGAGTCTGATATAAAACACTAAGGCAGTGGTAGCATTCAGTGCCGCTTAAGCTTTGTCCCTCTGAAAGGACTGCACCTCGAACTCTGCACGCAACAGCAAGAGATTAGGACTGATCGCAAATGATCCTTCTGAACTGAATCTGAGCAGTCACTGAATTATGAGATTGCTTCACTCTTTGTCTGGATTAATTCGTGTTTAATCGTAGTTTGCTTTTCCTTCCTTTTCCTTTGTCTTCAAATATAAGCTTGCTCTCTGGTCATGGGGTCTATAATTTCATTTTTGCATAGGCTGGTGAGGGGTTTCCCTGTATTGTAAAGCGGATGCCAGGTGGATCTATGGTCTCAAACGACAAAATACCAAGCGAAGGGAAAACAGTGGAACTTTAAGATCAAGGAGAATGCAGGCTACGTGTTGGTTCGCTGTCCTTCTCCTTATACCTGCCATCTACCTGGTAAGTTTATATACATGTGCAACTTTTTTTTAATCTAAACACACTTACTGTATACTGTACGTTACATTTTCACCTCCTGCTAGGGTTAGCTAAAATTCAGTTATGATAAAAAAAAGTGATACGTCTTTTGGGATGTAAATGCTAAAGTTAAAAACATGCATGCACAAACGTACGCACTTAACACTTGATAGTAAGAATTTGTCTCAAAACGGACCGACATTTAGAAGCGTTATAACTCAGTAGAGACACTTATTCAAACGCCAGATGCTAGAAACTTCATTAGTTGGTACCTACAGTAACGCACTAGAGTGGTGAGGCAAAACGTTGTGGCAACTTAGGTAATATAGTCAGAAACATGTGGTATAACACTCACAGGACCACATCAACAATACCGAGCGCATTTCGTATCAGGCAGTAGCTGGTATATACAGTACAGTAGGGTTCCTTCCCGGCCTGGGCGACAGTGCATCAGACTACAGACGGCTACCTGTTCGGTCATTAAAGGTACCGATGCTGAAAAGAGTGTTAGTCCGCTTCGACTAGTGTTAAACACATTCATTTCTTATTATTTGGCATTTTTTTTCGAGAATACATAGCAAACTAAACAACAACAACAACAACAACAACAACAACAACAACAACAACAACAACAACAACAACAGCAACAGCAACAACAACAACAACAAAACTATTTTTCAAACAAATAGCGCCTTTAGGTATTGCAAAACGGTAAAGGTTACTCAATATAATAAATGCTGCCTAATTGCTTCGTGTTGATCAACGAGCTGTGCTAACACAGCTAACGTGCATTTCAAATACTTTCGCATTTTAAATGGCCTTTCCGTAATTAATATTACTAAAACAGCCTTGCACTACACATATGAAGTTATGCTCTATCGGTTTATGTGACAGGACATTTGGTGCGTGAGGAAAACCAGCGGCTGGTACCAGTTGCAGTGAAAAAATATTTCCTCTAGAGGGCATCCACGATTGTTTTTTTTGTGAACAAAAGACGCGAATGTTGCGTCTTTGTTGGATAGCACAGCTACTGTGTAGGGCACCATTAAGTACTTTCTTTCATACGTTTATGGGAAATAATTTCAAAGCAACACGCCTTTCCAACTTTCTTTTCCAAAAAACCAAACCTATTTTACCACGGAAGAGAATAAAACAGCTATTCCTCTAGCACTAATAACTCACCATGTACTACAGTAAGTCTACGTCTTTAACAGGAACGGGGTGGGAAATACGAACTGCAGAATTCTGCGTTTTAGGCTGAATTACTGTTATTTTGGAAGAAAGGGAAAACACGGGGATACTCGTTCTTCTTTAATAGCAATTAAAATGCAGATAATTTATTTGTTTTAAAATAAAGCAGTGACAACATATAATTTAAATTTAAAAACCCTTCGAGAACTTTTAAATGTTAAATTCACGCTTGCTCAGTACAATGTCAAGTTAAGCGTGCTAACCCAATATACAGTAGTTTGAAATTCGATTTCAGCATTTGCGTTGAAACTCATCAATTAAAACAAGGCTTAACGAGATTTTCATCTTCTGTTATGTTGATATAGAAGCAGTTGCATACAGGTTAGAAGACCCAACTGAAAATGAATATTGTTTGAAATCTTCCCTTATTCTCAGATCATGAAACCTAGGAGATACAACAGTACACAATTCGCAGTATTTTAAAGGTGACTGGATTTCAACATTTAAGGTAAACTTAGAAGTACTGCGTATGACATACTGTAGAAACGTATTAGGTTATAAAAATGGTACTTATTTTGGGGGTTCAGTTTATTCTACGCGGAGGTGAATAATGCAGTCGTTTATTGGGATGTTTAAATATTGGATACCGTAAATCTAAATAAAATGCTATCATAACAGTACACCATTTTCACTGACAGAAAATTACATTCTAAGCGTAAAGAGTATCGCTATTTGCTTGGGCCTTTGAATGCAAAATAATTAAATACACCACAAGTATTTTATGCTGTATCTCTCCCATATATGTCAGGCGTTGGCAGAGGTGGAACAAAACGTTTATGTGTTTTTACATAAACATGTAACGCTGAGACTCCGTCTTAACTAAGCGGCCCCATCCTGCCGAAGACAACATTCATCTCCTTAAAACTGCTCTCGTCTACTTGCGGACTACTTGTGCGTTGAACACGGTATTTAAAAAAGTAAGAGAGCAAACCTTTTAAGTAAACAACCATTGGATTATACTTAATGTTCTCCAGAAAGTAAAAAAAGCTTAGTGTGGAGTCTCTCGGTTACATTTTTAGTTTTTTTAAAGCAACAAAATATAAATTTAGCTGGTAACAATTAATGTAGATACCACTATTGTGAAGTTCACACAGGAAAGGAAAAGCAAACCAGATGAGTTCATATCCATAAAAACAGCGTGACATTTCACTTATCGTTAACAAATTAGTACCTCGATATAATAATGTCAAAGATTAATATAGCTCTTATTCAGACAACACGTTTACACTGAAAAGTGGTAGTGTATTTCTGAGAAACAATAGCAGATTATATACTGTAGAACTACAGTATGCAAGTAACATTTTCTTTTCTCGTAAAAAAGGTGCGTGATGGTTTCTTGAATACATTGGTAAAGTGAAGCAAAAACCGAACATTTTTTTTTGTGACTAAACCAAAACAGGACATTTCCCAAAGTGAAACACTGATGTGAATTACTGAAGAGAATACATATTCGAAAAAAAGAGCTGACAATATAGGCTTTCGTGTTATGTATACTGTACACTTTCAATTACCACTTAAACGAACTTAAATTGAGGATTGAATAAATACGTTAAATGAAGATACGCAAATGAATAACACTACGTTACGTTATTGCTTTAGAAAACATTACCTGGCACATTGAACACATTGAATTATTAGTTGAAACTGTATTGTATTTGCTTTGTTAGTATTTGTGATGTAAGTAAACGGATTGCTTTACGTATTGTGTAACACATAGAGAAGCTAGGATGTTCAAGAGGATACCAGCAATTAAGACAAATGTGCTAAATAATCAATGATAAAATGTTGTTTGTGAAGGTAAACTAATTAGCAAGAGTTCAATGAACACTGACAATCAACACTACAAACAGAAGACAGAACACAGAAACATTACTAAGCTTTAACTCAGTTTAACTGTCCATACACCTACTGTAGGTACAGTGTGATGAAAGTGAAGTCACGATTTACATACACATGCCCCCATCTGAAATACGGGGAGCGTACAGAAAATAGAAATGACAAGAAGTACAAAAAAAAAAAACAGCTCAGATGTAGTCTTTGAAAATATTTTTTTTGGGGGGGGGGGGATATTATCATACAATATCTTCGCTCAAATAAAATATTCCAACCAAAGTTCGCGCTTTTACACGCACATTTGAATTCTCAGGGTGCTGAATTTGGGAATGTGCTATAGTCGTAACAATAATGAAGGACTACAGTATAAAGAATCAGTTAAAATCTGACATGAATGTAGTATTTGACCAAGGATTCGGGATTTTCTCAAACGTTTCTCCTATTCGTAGTGATACTCCTGTGCACAACACGTCTGCAAACTCTTAAAACGTGTCTTTGTCTCAGGGTAGCAATGTAGAACAAAGGTATCGGAATATTTATTCGAGCGGAACACTTCAGTTTAGGAGGCAAAGCTTTCTGTAATCAGAAGGGGAGTTTTTATTCATATATTCATTTTATAGCGTGGCCAATTATTATCTCCTAACAATCTTTATATATATATACGGTAGATGGACAAGGTACTTTAGGAGAAGTGACAGGATTACAGGAAACGCAAAGAACTCATCTAGCATAAAAAGAATGCACTCTTACAATGGCGCTCAATTTACTGTTAAAATCCCATGAATAACAGTTAACAGAACGGCTCCCCAGATGAATATTACCTGCTACTCTCTCAGCTTTGCTGCTTTGGCATCACAATGTGGCAACACATGCACAATCAATGAAGATTCACAATCTAATGTACCCCGCTTTTTAAATATCTTGGCAGTTAATGTTAACATATTTTCTCTTCGTCCCTGAATATCAGGAACTTACAGTACGCGCATTTACATAACAAAACACCAACGATATTATGAATAATAATCACCCTTTGTGTTGTATTTTGAATAACAGCTAATCGTCGTCGTACTGTGGAGAGGAAAGTATTTTTTTTTATTTCCATTGACTGGTTTATGCACAGAAATTATTTTAAAATTAAAGACTATGAAATAAAAGACATTACATAAACGTCTGATCTTCCAAATCCAGAAAGACACTAATTTTTCACTAAGATTTTCCAGTTCAGGTACTGCGTCCCACATAAGACTTACAAAAGCCTGTCTTCTGATCGACCGAAAGTCAAGCGCAACCGATGAAAACGAAACCGTGACTGTTATCTTTCAACAAATCAACAATGTGACACTAAAGAAAATGCGTGAATTGAGATACCTTTCTCATAAAGGTTTCCCAATATTACATATACAAATCACTGTATACATATACATAATAATTTAGAGCAGAATATGTACAGTTATCTATGCATCTTGGGGAATGTGCGATGTAGGCCTACACACAGTTGCCATTTATTTGTATCGCTTTGTTCGTATTGAAAAAACAGTCTATTGTGAAATATTGTTCCTTTTATTATACAAGAACTGGATAAGCTTATTATTTGTACCAATGGATGAAAAATGCGTCTTTGTTAAATACACTTAAAACCATTAATCACAAGACAACAATAGCAACGACACCTCAGTCTAATATCGAAACTTGAAAAGTATTCATCATAATCTGTGAGCCTGAAGTTAACTTTTGTAGAAAAGAACGAAAGTCGTGCAATTCGAATGAACTACGGGAGGTTTTGAGAGCCGCATTCTGTATATTTCTGTGTTCACACAGAAATACTGTATATACTGTAGTAATCAGCAGAGAGCAGAGTATAACCTACAGTACTGAAGGTTGAAGACGTACTTTTTTCA